AAATGCAATTCCATATAAGGTATGAGGTAATTGTGACGTAGCTACCAAACGTTTTTCTTTCTGACTGAAATTGAGTATTGACTTATTTAATAGTGATTAAGCCAAGGTAAATACACACATGGAGATGCATATTATTACTCACATGCATGCGTACATGCACATGCACACGTGCGTGTTCTTGCACATGCATAGCACACGTACATGCGTGCACGCATGCACGCACGCACGCACGCACGCACGCACACACACACACACACACACATCACACGCCCACACTCCAACAGGCACGCACACACACACACACAGCACATGCGCAGGTACCACTCACACGCCCACACTCCAACAGGCACGCACGCACACATGGACCTGCACGTACGCATACATACGCAGGTGCACACACACACGCACGGACGCACGCACGCACGCACGCACGCACACGCACGCACACACACACACACACACCCACGCACACTCATACTCAAACAAACACATCTATGCACGTATGTGTTTGTGACAGTTGCTTCTGGGACACAGATATGCTGTGAGCACTATTACATCATCATTTAATGCAAAATTCCTATCTTCAGCAGCTAAAAACTGATACTATCAAAGCTCATTAATATGAACATGGCAATGAGTAAAAAAAAATTCCCATTAGACAGGGCCATTATAATACGGCATGTAGATAAAAGATGCTGGCACAATGCCAGACGGTTGCACATGAGCTTTGTCATGAGCATTATCATATGCATTAGCATTAGATAAGATAGAGAATGGTAAACTGCAAAGGATGCACTTTAGTTGTTTTCCGTATCCTTGCTTTTTTCACCAATGTTTGCTGATTTAATTCCGTTTTTGATGCGATTTTCTGTGATTGATTAATAACAATGTTTGCATCCATCACACAAAATGCAGTTAAACAAGGCTTTGTTAAACGAGATATTACAGCACAGTCAATCAGTAGTCATCTAGCCACTTACAGTAATAACATCAGGAGTCTATCAATATTGATAGACTCCTGATAACATGTATGTGCAACCTATGAACATAAAATGTTTCCAACAGGATGATTCTAGTACTTAGAAACAAGGAGGCTTGACAACTCCTCCCATTGTACATTTGTGCACTGTTGTATCCTCATGTCGACATGCGCTAAACAACCATTTCGATATTCGAATACTTACAATGGTACGTTATTCCCCGATGACACGCTGCAAACAACTCTGCCCAGAATGACCTTCCCTGAGTTTAACCCCTTATTCAGCTGCTTGAGGGGGACGTGGGACAGCTTGACAGAGGCACCCGTGCCAGAGGTGTATGTGCTGCCACTGTATGGTCCCAGATCCTTCTGAGCATTCATCGACCGAAGCAACTGCTGTAGTTTCTTCCCTTTCAATCTTCCCTACAAAATGACAATAAATTGTTGATTCGATTGTTACATTGTTTTCTAAGTATGGTCAGAGCTGTACAGAAGGACCACTCAGGGGAAAATGGTACATTATAGAGAAGTATCTGTTCTAAAGAGTTGGTTACACCATATAACAGCTCCTTAAGGACAGCACCAAAATTTCCTTTTATCGACAGTTGACATTCAACAACAGTGGCCACTGACAAATTTCTCACTCTAAATGTAGTCGTACAAATAATCAGGGGTTAATAATGACAAATGTCATTGTTTTGTCATGAAATTTTCATTGTTTTGTCATTGTTTTGTCATTAATTTGTCATTATTAACCACTGATCTAATCAACCTAGAATGCTGCTCTCGCGATGCACCCAAACTGAAATGCTTGTAGCGTGTACGTCCGTGACATACCTTCTGCTCCACTAGCTCTGTGACCTTGCTCAGGTAGTCGAGCAAACTCTGTAGCTTTGTTTGTGGTTCTGGCCAAAGGGGATCGAGGTCGTGGGCCCGCTGGTAGCCGCGTATGGATGCCTCGTAATCCTCCTCATACTGCAGCATCTTGTTGCCATGGAAACAATGGGAATTACACTAAAGCACAGACGAGCAGATTTACACATAGCTGCAGATGAGAAATGTTACTTTGCTCGTCTAATATGCGTCTGGTTGTCGTAAATAGTGCTATAAAATTTCAGAGTTTGGGTAGAAATCCAAGAAAGGCATTTTTTTCCTGAGATCTTTTTAATTTTACTAAACAGAAAAGGGGAAATGCATTCAAAGTAAATATAGGGAAATAATGATTTTATATGAGTATATATAATGAAAATTTCAGTCACTTAACATTTTAATCAGGTTGGCTAGGCAATTTTTTTTAAGCCTACGTGAATGGCACAAGTATATTGGATAAAGAAGTTTAATACATGCAGAAAGTATATATATGTGAAAATACATTGACTAGCAAACATCTGTGAGGCCATAATAAAAATATTGTTTGTTTGCCCTCACCCGACCGACCCGCCAAAAAGGGAGCGACTCAAATTTTTTTATTGATCTTTCCCATTTTTTTTTTTTACAAATTGTATCATTGTACATTATATAAATCTGTAGGCAATACATTATATATACCAAGCAAAACAAACATTTAACATAAAAGGTATCTCCACACAAGCACATCCGAGCATGTAGACACCATGCTGAATTTGTAAAAAGTCTCTCTCAAACAAAAGAAAAAGCCGACCTACCTACCCAAACTTTTCAGCCTGGGTCGGGTGACGGCAAACAAAGATTTTTTTAATTGTGGCCGAGTAGACTTACCACTGCTCTGTTATGATGGAGATCTGGGTTGCAGTTTGCCACTGGATCTTTCTCCTAGAATTAGAATAACCATTAAAGATATGACAAATAAACCCAGTACCAATAATACAAGATTATTGTTTGTTCAGTATATAATAGGTCCTATTCTCTTGCATAAAGAACAATTATTAGTTGGCTGATGTATTAACACGATAAGCTTACTGCTTGACTGTATGCTTGCATGCACTGCTTGAGAATCCTTGAATCCTGATTTGTTGAGAAAAACAATGACAAGTACGCATTTCCTAACACACCTGCAACACAAAAATGAGAAATTTGATTCCCGCACATCACCTTTGCACTAATGAACATTTACAGCTGCGTACATAGATAATGACAGGAAAAGGAAAAATGGGATTAAAATCTCAATTTTAATTCGGTGACAATCTATTAAAGCCGATACGACACATATTTATTGGTGTCGTATCGGCTTTAACGTTATTTATCAAGAAACATACTCAGACTAGTTCCCTGACCGTAACATATCACCACTGTTCATAAGCCTGCGACTGAAAGTTGGAATGGGAAAGGAGAAATGGCCAAATTGGCTTAAAAACATATATTTTAAGATAATTATATCATTTCAGCACATAAACACACTACAAATAACTATATTAGCAATACAACCCCTTGTCATATATTTACAAGACGACAGCAAAACAAATGTTGCAGTTGCTAATTTACATTAGTATCAATATAATTAGCCAGCTTAATTATACTTAATTATATTACATATACTAGAAGCATAATTATTCTTTGAGTCGGCTGTGTTGTCATTACTGTAGGTTACAAGCAGGAAAGTAGTATATACGCACTCCAAGATGTTCCATCGGCAATATCCATCTGAACTGCATCTCTGGCCTTGCTCACACTCTCCTGAATATTACGAAGTTTCTCATCAGGTGTTTTCCTCTGCTGCCGCAATACCATGGACAGGTTTCGGAGCGAAACCTTATTCTTTTGCTAACAGATAAAATTACAAGTAATTAAACCCAATACATAAATGAATAATAACAGGTTTTTATGCATGCTATATAACGAAGCAACTTAGTCACACAACGAACACATATATATGTTAATATATATATTATATATATACATTGTAGTATAAATAACTTCATGCTCACGCCAATTACTGTGTAACTTAAAAATCCTAGTTGTGAGAGTAGATACATTGTGGATCTAATTCATATGCTACCATAAGAAACTCACCTGGCTCAGTGCTCCTGTGAAGCAGTTATGGGCACCTTGCATGTCTCCCTGCTTCCAATAGCACTCCCCTAGCTGATTCCATGCTTCGACAAGACGTGGATTTAGTTTGACTGCTTTTGCCAGTGCATCTTGTGCCTCAGGATTGTGGGAGGAAGTCACGTTTAGGGCTTTTCCTTCCAAATAGAGCATCTCTGCTCTTGGCAAGACTTCACACTTGTCTAGCAACCATAAAAATATAAACAATATGATATTTGTATATAAATTATAATTACAAACATATTGTAAAATTCAGTATTTGAAGTGATTTACAATATTGTAGTTGTTTTGGTATTTACAATATTTTTTTCACAAAACAATACCTGCAACTTTTGCTACAATACATAATCACAAGATGTACTAAAGATAATGTTATCTAGTAGTAATTTAAATGCCTTACCACATAAAAACTTTTAATTTCTTAATATAAGTTATATTTATGATTATTTTGGAGAAAGCTGTAAGATCACTTTATTATAAACTTAAAATATGTACATTTCACATTTTTCATGTAATCCTTTGTGATTTCTAGCTGCTTTGCAATGTCTTCATCCTTGTGGACCGCTCTCGTAATATCATGCTCAATGAAGTACCGATCTCGGAAGGTAAATAGTTTCTCCACGGCCTCCTTTAAAAGAAGAATACATATATGTGTACTAGCGGGATAACCGGCGTTGCCCGGGAAAATCAGTGGCGTTTCTCAGTTGGTTACCGCTTGGTTGAAAGGAAAATACCCAAAAAAATCCAACTATCTATCTATCCATGCATCCATCCATGCATCCATCCCATTCCATTCCATCCCATCCCATCGCACCCCATATCCCATGCCATGCCATGCCATCCCATTCCATCGCACCGCATCCCATCCCATCCCATGCGATCACATGCCATCCCATGCCATGCCATCCCATGCCATCCCATGTCATCCCATGCCATTCCATGCCATGCCATCCCATCCCATCCCATCCCAAACAGTAAAAAAACAATAAGAAATCAAAAGATAAAAGACATTAAAAATAAAAAATAAAAATAATACATACTAAAGAGGTAGGTAAAGAGAAAAAAAGGGAAAAAGGGAAAAACCAAGTTCCCCAGCTGGGACTCGAACCCGGAATCCCGGTATAGGAGACGAATGTTCTAACGATTATGCCACTGAGCTGTTACGGGTATACACCATGGATTCACACGTACGTGATGTTTTAATCTGTATGCACCGCCATCTATTGATGAATAGAATTTTTATCAATTTTTAAATTTTTTACTTTTTTAAATTTTTGTTTCAGCCAGAACCACCTCCCGGACGTGCTGATTCTAAAAATATCTTTAGTTTTCCTCAAGGCTGCAGAGCTCTAGTTGTGCGAGTATGGACTAATTTGGCTGAACAACTTTATATATATAGAGGAATCCAATTTAGTTCTTACTTGCCATTATGCAACTGAAAAATAGAAGATATCCACAGCAATAAACTAAGCCATTTGCCCTTGTGGCCTTCCCATAACTTCAATGTTCTGGATGTATATTAATTCCTCCTTTTCCCACAAAAACTACTGTTAAAATGTAAGTGGCTGTAATAACTCTTCCTTGAGGAACATGTTAACCTCGATGATCACATTAGATGTTGGACCTGTATCACTACTCTAGTAATGCCAATGCAATGCAGATCGACTTACAGCAAGATACCTACTGCAAACGCAAACATGCTGGTAGCAACTATACTGTCAGTTTCAGCACATAGTCATAGGTCGGCTTGGCATAATATTACTGCAATTACCTAGTACTAGTAGTAGTACTAGTAGCTCTAGTAACTATAGCCCGCGTACAGTTGCCGCTGGCCACTGCCGTATGCCAGCGGCAACTGTACGCAGGCTATAGTTACTAGAGCTATACTAGTTGACTACAAGTTACTAGATACAATAATGTAACCCAAACCCAAGAGGATAGGGTTACAAAGCCTCCCTATCCTTTTGTGCGGAGGAATGCCCGAGTGAATCACTCGGGCCGGTTTGCTGGTGCGTTTTCAGAGACTAGAACTTCCAAACTGGGTTTATTCTCAACACGAACCTTTCTCCGCTATCCGGGAACTTACTATGTATCGCAATACTCTGTATTAAACTAATATAACCTGTTACAAAAATTCGAAGTGACGAGCGGCGGATATTTCAAGCGCCATTTCTGTTGACCTGTGACGTACGCATTCCCTATGCGCATAGCGTTCGGCTAACTTCGTCATGACGTCACGACTGACAGCAGGCATCCCATGATACATTCGATCTTGGAGTCGAAGTTGCGATACATAGTAAGTTCCCGGATAGCGGAGAAAGGTTCGTGTTGAGAATAAACCCAGTTTGGAAGTTCTATTCTCTGAAAACGCACCAGCAAACCGGCCTGAGTGATTCACTCGGGCATTCCTCCGCACAAAAGGATAGGGAGGCTTTGTAACCCTATCCTCTTGGGTTTGGGTTACATTATTGTATCTAGTTCTAGACTAACCCGA